CCAGGAAGATTAAGAGGTATGCAATATGAGAAAGACATATAAGGAAGATAAATAGCTGAATCAAATTGTAATGTTGACAACAACCAAAATCAAAGTCACCAGAGAGATGCCATGCAAAACAATCCTAAAAAATATACGAATACCGATAATGACACATTTTTTGCTATGGAACTAGATTTTATCATAGAGAATGAATACATAGTCTGATCACGACGGTTTGAAGCTTCTGATACGATGGAGAGGAGGTTGACCTACAAAGTTAACACTCTAACAGTCAAATCAATAATAGAATGATAAAGTGGAGTTGAATGAAAAATAATTTAAATACATGTGAAATGAAGCAATTCATTCTTTAAATAGGAGAATTGATTAACAACAAAATGAGTGTGATGAGACATGAAATACAACCAATCATAAGATCAATCTAGACGGCTAAGACGGAGCTCGGAGGAGAAATTACCTAGGGGAAAAGGAGCCCACCTGTTCAATGTTGTGTCCCACACTTTAGAAAAAAATATTGAGCAAACAAAAAAATACTAAACAAGTTAAAGAAACATCCAATTCAATCAAAATTCAATTTAATAAGGATATGAGGTCCAATTAATATAATTACCTTTGCTTTGTCTAAAAAATAATCTAAATCTCATATTAATATATTATCATTAATAAATATATACTAATTTGAAATTATTATTGTTTTTTTTCATTTTCACCACAAATATGACTCGGTTTGAAAATCAGTTCTAACATCTATAACAAAAATGTTATAATAATAATTTAAAAATTAATGATTATAAATGAAGATAATTTACGAAAAATAAAATAATTAAAATCCATTCTTTTATTTTTAATACAAAAATTTATTAAATAAAAAAGAAAAAAGAAAAAAAAAAGACAAAAAGGAACATAAAATTCAATCCATTAAAAAGCTAGCAAAATGATAATTAGACACACCTAACCTATTTTAAAAAAGAAAACCTTTAAAAAATACAAATAAAAAATTAATTTGATCAAATATCATAGAAAAAATGAACACTATTCTTAAATTTAATTGAATATCTCAACCAATCAAAAAGTATGATTCAAAAGTATGATTAAATATCACGTCATCTTTATTTTATTTTATTTTATTTTAAAATAAATTAAAATTTTAACACAATTTACGTTAATATAACTTAAATTCATGGATAAATTTTTTTTTTTACCTAAAAGAAAACCTCTATGATGTAATTTATCTACACATACATATATACATGCATTTCATTCTTATAGTTGAGATAGAAATAACGATTTGATTGAAATCATCCATGACAACTAATCATGTGTCTATACTTTGAACACAATTTATATTATTTACTATTTATTTTACGTTGAATTGATATTAATTAAGTCAACATTTTAATTATAAAAAGCTTTCATAACCTTTCAACTTTTGAAAGGATTGGTGGAGTATTCTTTTATTGTTATATAATAATAATGTAATTTATTTGTTTCACAACAATAGTCATATTTTATTATTTTACATAAATAAAAAAATAATTTTATTAACTTATTTTTATTTTACATAAATAAAATATGATTGATTGTTGATTTACTGTTATTGTTAGAATGACAGTCTAGATGACAGTACATTTCTATTAAATTTATTAAAAAAAAAGTTAATTTTGACAAGAAATAAATAAATAAAATATTATTGCGTATAATATTGTCTTTTTGATTTTTTCTATAAAACAAGCTCATTGGTCACCAACCTCAAAAAAAAAAGAAAAAACTCATCTTTTTGGCTTTTGATTCTCTTGGTTCCAAATTTTCTGTAAAATCTTCTTCCAAAATCTTGATTCCTTTCTTGAATTGGAATCTATAAACCGAGAAAGAATCTCGTGAATTTTTGGATAATTTAGTTGTTTTGTAGAAGAAAGATTGGTTTTTGGCCCCAATTATTGATTTTTCTCAACAGGGTTCTGTTGAATTTGAATCTTTGTTGGGGTTGTGAATTTTAGGTTTCTGAGTTGCAAAGTTGATTGCTTTTCAGTTTTTGGATTTGGGTTTGTTTCAACTCTCTTCTGCGTCTTCAATAAATAGTATTTGGCTGTAATTGGGGTATTTTGATTTTTCAGGTAATGAATTGAACTAAGTTGAAGTTATTGTTCATTTTTGAAGTGTATGTTTGGTTTAGCTTTTGGAATCCAAAAGCAATTATAGAGTAAAATTGATTTTGGAATGATTTTGAGGTGTTTGATTCTTGATTCAGCCTTTAAAATTGATTCTTGATTCTACTTAAACTAGAGATTTTGTAGTGTATGTTTGGTTTGGTTTAGTTTTGGAAGAGGTAAAAGCAATTTTAGAGGTGTAGAATTGATTTTGGAATGATTTTGAGGTTTTTGTTTCTGTCTCTAGAATTGATTCTAATGGAAGCTAAAATTTGTAGTTCAACTCACTTTTATGTATTCAAACAGAAATGACTTTACATCCAACTCACTTTTAACCCGAATCAATTCTACAAAATCACTTAAAATCAATTTTTTTCACAGCTGAACTAGAACCAAACATAGGTTAATTATTGTATATTTATTGTATTGTGTTGTTTCTTTTTATCTTCAGGGTTTGTTTGGTTATTTAAATTCAACTAAACTGAAGCATTTGTTCATCAAGTTTTTATCTTTAGGTAATTTTGTAAGCTGGGTAAGTTCAATTTTTTGATTTTTTTGTGTTTTTGTTTTTCAGGGTTTGTTTGGTTGCTCTGAAATTTTCCAGGTTTGAAAACTGAAAAGAGAACTGAAAATGACAATTGGAAGTCTTGCACCTAAGACAGAGAGGAAGAAATCAAGAAAGAACAAGGCAATTGTGAATGAGAATGCACCCTTGTTGCCTAAAAGTCAAGCCAACGAGAGCGATTCCGGGTTCGATGATTTCAATGGAGCTTCGTATTCCGGTGCTGTTTTCAACTTGGCAACTACAATTATCGGTGCCGGAATCATGGCTTTGCCTGCGACCGTGAAACAGTTAGGAATGATTCCTGGTCTTCTTGGTATACTCATGATGGCTTTTTTGACTGAGAAGTCAATTGAGCTTTTGATTAGGTTTACAAGGGCAGGAAAATCTGTTTCATATGCTGGTTTGATGGGTGATTCGTTCGGGAAATATGGAAAAGCTTTGACGCAGATTTGTGTTATCGTCAATAACGTTGGCACGCTTATCGTTTACATGATTATAATCGGTATGATTCTATGACTATTCTTTAATTTTAGTACTTCAAAGTTCATTGTTAGCATATGTTTAGGATCTGTTTGGAAAAGCAACTTAATCAAGTGCTTATGATATCAAAAATTTGTTATATAAGTGCTTATGTAGAAGTTATTTTCTTAGTAAAAGATCAATAAAAGTCAAACTGTTCTTATTTAAGCTATGAGCTGTTTTCATAAGTTAATCTATAGAGCGTGTGGATATAAGCCGAAAACATACCTCTCTCAGAGTCCAGAGTCTTACATGTGCTTATGCAAGTAGATAATCTCAATTAGTCAATCCAAACAGACCCTTAACTTTTTTACCGTTGGGTCTCTAAATTCAGATTTTTATTGATTACTTTGCAGGTGACGTGCTCTCTGGAACATCTTCAAGTGTAGAACATCACCACGGTATCCTTGAAGGATGGTTTGGTGTGCATTGGTGGACTGGACGTACGTTTATTGTCCTTCTTACGACGGTTGCTATATTTGCTCCCCTCGCATGCTTTAAGCGAATTGGTAAGTGTTATCCTTCATTTGCATTTGATTCTTTGATTCTAACAATTGTATCATTTTGGCTTATTCTAATCCTAATAATAAACATTTGTGTGCTCTTTGGTTGCAGATTCGTTGAGATTCACATCCGCCCTCTCTGTTGCTCTGGCTGCTGTTTTTCTTGTCATTGCTGTGGGAATTTCTGTTGTCAAGATCATAAGTGGAGGCATTAGCATGCCGAGACTCTTCCCTATTGTTACCGATGCATCATCTATCATTGACCTATTCACCGTGGTTCCCGTGTTTGTGACTGCCTATATCTGTCACTACAACGGTGTGCATTTTATTCAATTCAATTAAGTGCTTATTGCATAAGTGCTTATTATAGTTAGTTGTCTGCTTTCTCTTTGCACGAGTCTTGTGTGTTCACTCTTTTTCTTTTTGCAGTTCACAGCATCGATAACGAACTCGAGGACAACTCACAGATGCAAAGCGTTGTACGTACGGCCCTTGGTCTATGCTCATCCGTCTACATGATGATAAGCTTCTTCGGTTTCCTCCTATTCGGTGAAGGAACCCTTGATGACGTGCTTGCCAACTTCGACACCGATCTCGGAATTCCTTTTGGTTCTTTGCTCAACGACGCTGTTCGTATTAGCTACGCAGCACACCTCATGTTTGTATTTCCAGTTGTGTTTTTTCCGTTGCGACTCAATATAGACGGTCTTCTCTTCCCTTCGTCAAGACCTTTGGTTCTCGATAACTTCAGATTCGCATCAATCACTGCTTCCCTTATTGGTGTTATCTTCCTTGGAGCAAACTTCATTCCTAGCATTTGGGATGCTTTCCAGTTCACCGGAGCAACCGCCGCAGTCTGTATAGGATTCATCTTTCCAGCTGCCATCACTCTCAAGTGAGTTTTCTCATCGAATTTCTATTCGGTCACGGGTTTGATAATCCATCGTAATTCTTTTGTCTCTCGGAAATATCTTACTTTGTCTGAGTTTATGCTTTTGCTGTTATCTAATTTGAGTTTTCTTTTGTTCGGCTATCTTTTAAACGATGCAGGGACCGCTACAACATAGCAACAAGATCAGACAAGATTCTATGCGTCGTTATGATAGTCCTGGCTGTTGCCTCAAATGTTGTGGCTATATACAGCAACGCATTTGGGTTGATCACGAAGAGCAATACTTCGCGCGAATGATGGTCACAGTTCTTGACGAAAGGAACTGAATTGGCCAGGTGTCAGTCAGAAAATCAGGGTTTTCTGAGAGGGTCTCATGAGTCGTCGTCGATTTTTGAATAAACATAGAAGCTACTACCCTGTGTACAAATTTGCTTCAAAAGGTGTCGAGTCCCGCAACATGTATTCGGCCTGGTTTGTAGTTTGCGAATTCGTTTATAATTGTTATGGTATTTTTGAGTAATAAATACTCTCTTTCCCTGATTTGTTTTAAAATGTAATAGAACTTTTGCTGGCACTGTATGTATTGTATTGTATTGAGTGAAGGAATGAACTATGTAAGAATGGTATTTTTCTTGAATTGGACAAGAGAAAGTTGCTATAGCTCCTCCCTCCTTTGTGTTAAAGTAAATGTGTTTATAGTTGGTATTCAAATTTCCCCAAAAGTAAGGTGTGATACAACTCATATACCGGCGTGTCTGATGTCTGACATGTGTAAGTGTATGTCTGTGCGTTTGGTATGTGACATGTGTCGGTGTATGTGTGATATGTATTAGTATATGCGGTTATATTCAATCACTTTCATTTCTTAAAGTTTTTTTAGCGTCTACATATAATTGCTAAAGTGATTCATCTAATCACATTGATACGATTTTTAGCATTGCATCTATAGAAAGAACAAAAGACTTGCAATGACATCAAACACAAAAGAAAGATGACAGCAAGAAAAGTTAGAAATTGCCATGAAGCAAACACATAAACCTTGATGAATCTCCAAATTTTGATACTCACATTACCATTATAATGTTGGTTAACATCCTCAATGACCTTATCCAAGAATGGAACTCTTGTCAATTTAATGGATTTGCTCATTCCATTCCACAAGTTAGCAACCTCTTGATCACTTTTCAAGTGGTTCAAAATAATCCCTTTTTCTCTAAGAATCTTCGCATCTTCCTCGGTGTCTATGATTCCATTCATCAACTCGGTATAACGGGTGAAAACCAATGGTTCAGATGCAGTTGATGCTTCGTAAGCAATTAAATTTCTCATGAAAACTTCGCTGTTTATATCTAAACTAATAGTTGGAAGGTAAAATATAATCGTTTTTACATCAAACAAAATAGTTGATATGTCTCCTTTAGTAGCTACGAAATTAACTCCAGACTTTGAGAGTTCTGTAACTGAAGGAATAGAGATTTCATCAATTAACAATGATTTGTTAACAATGTTGTTTGAGCTTAAATTCTTGTTTCCTTCTTTGGTAGCTTCTTTTTCTTTTGAGAAAAGAAAGTATTCGATCGGTTGCTTTATAATTCCCACTACGGGAAGATTAGAAATAAATGTCCAAGGTAGCCAAATCATAACTTTGACGGCTCTACATTGCTTGAATTTCTCAAATAAACTTATTAACGCCAAAAGCAACCTCCAAACTTCACATAGAGATTTCTTAACATAGTTCACATACAAATTTTGACCATGTTCGTTATCTTTGTGTTCAACTATTATTTCTAATTCTTCGTCCAATTTAGGCACAATCATGTTATACAAAAAATCTAACAAATGCGGACGTCCAGAGATGACGATATCAGAATAATTCCGTTCCACCAATTTGAACGGAGAAATCTCTTTATACAATCCAATAAACATAATATACAACATGTCATCTCCTAATTCAAGTGATGTGAATTTAAACTCCAACATCTTTCTCAAAATAAATAAAGGTATTTGATTTTCAAGCATTACTATGTCCTTCAAAATCACATTATGACCTAATTTCCTCCCTCCATAATCAATCAAATGAGACATCCTTGAGGAAACACTTGGTATCATTGTTTCATCTTCTATGGTATAAACTTGAAGAAATTCTAACAAAAATGATGCATCAACAACCATCATCCACACCAATGTTTCAACATTAAAATTTAAATACTTATGGTAACATGCTCTAATTTTGTGGTCTAACCTTATCAATTGGTCAACAATATGTTCTAACTTGAGGCTTTGTAATTGGTTTTGGAATCTTTTTGTTGAAGCAATCTTATATCTCTCCATTTCATAAAGCTCTTGGCTCCAAAAATGGTAAGGTCCAATTGCAACTTGTTGAGGAGTATAAGAATATGGATCACTAGCCATAAGTGGTTTAGGTACATTGAAGATAGATACAAGAAATTCACCATCATCCTCAACTTCTTTATCTAAGGATTCACGAATTTTGATCACCCATTCAAGCTCATGAAAATTGGTTTTGGAATCATTTGTCATTAGGGGTTTGAAATTAGACATGTTTTTGGAGAAAATAGCTTTTTTTTGAAATTAGTTGTTTTGGTTTTTCATGTAGTGAAAGTGAAAGAAGTTTAAACTATATTGAATTATAATGCTTTTATTGTAATGGTTATTATTTTACAATTTCTTGTATTTTATTGTAAGAAACGTGTTTTGTTGACTTAAATGACAATGAATTTAGTAAGTTGTTTTTTTTGTAAATAAATTTAGTAAGTTGTTGATTACAAAGAAAAACTTATTTATAAGTTTCTAACTCCTTTAAGGTTATATATGTAGTTAAAGTCCTCTAATGGAATTTCTCAATCCATCCCTACTTTTAGTATTTGATATTTTATTTTAGTCTTTCTAAAAATTATTTATGTTGAATTTGATCTATATATAAAATATTTAATTTTAGTCTTATTTTGGGCTAATAATGAATATTACAGTTGATCAATTATAGCATTAACATATTTTACAAGATTTAAAACAAAACACTACGACCAAAAACAAAAAAGATGTACTTACAAGAATTAAATATTATTTTTGCAGAGACTAAAAGAAAAAAAAAATATTTACAAAAATTAAAAGTGTATTTAAATTGAAAATAAATCTTCAAAATATAAATTGTATAAAGTTTAGTACTAATATGTAATCATTTTATGGATCGAAATTTAGGTTATGTATATTTACATTGTAATCATTTTATTTGTCAAGATGCATCGAGATTTAGGTTATATATAATTACATTATAACCATTAGTTTTTTTATTATATAAATCAAATATTTTACAATTGTAGAAATTAATCATTCGAATTAAGAACGACCACTAAAATCAAGCTCATGACCATTTATTACAAACTTGATTACTTAATTTAGTTATTTTCAGTCATTTGATTTCTTTTCTGTTAGGAAGTTATGAGCTTTAGAAGTTTGTTAGACTAAACCCAAGTACTATATAAATGATTGTATACAGTAACTTGGAGATTAATCTTTTATTCAACATTTTTGGCGCAATGTCTCTCTTTCATTCATCCCATTGTAATATGGCATCAAAGTCATAAAACCAATTTTCTGAGCCTCTTTCTTCTTCGTTTCCCTTATAGGGTTTCCCTTTACTTTCGCCGCCACCCTCTTTCTTTTCCGTTTTCATGGCCTTTGATGCAGAATTCAACCACAATGACACGAACAACAGTGATTCCACCATCGATCCTTCGATAACCACCACACCTAAATATCCCACACAAAACCCTATTATCTTCATCCCGTCGAGAATCCCAGATCCATCATCTTTGCGCCTCCGTTAGATGATAACAACTACCATAACTGGAGTAAATCGATGTGTCACGCCCTCATCTCTAAGAACAAGCTATCTTTCATCAATGATGTTCTCCGCAAATCGATTTATTCGACGGAAAATTTAAACTATGGGATCAAGAAATTAGTATGGTTCTTTCATAGATTAACATAACTCTTTATCCTCACATCGATCATAACAACATCAATTTCGACTCCACCTTCAAACTCTGGGAAGATTTACGAGAAAAACTTACAAAGAGAAACCATTTTTTGGTTCTCAGATTTGTTACACAATCTCCACTCAATCAAACAAGGTGATCATTCTCTCTCTCTCTCTCTCTCTCTCTCTCTCTCTCTCTCTCTCTCTCTCTCTCTCTCTCTCTCTCTCTCTCTCTCTCTCTCTAAACTTTATCGATCTCAAGATTATGTGGGATGAACTTGAAGATTTCCGTCTAACACCTTCTTGTTCTTGCCACACACCATGCACATGTGATCTTTTCAAGGCAGTTTGCACTTACAAGCACCTGTAGTATGTAACATGTTCCCTCAAGGAATTAAATGATAACTACCATACTATACGCACCCAAATTTTGCTTCTTGATGCATTGTCCAACATAAGTAAGGTTTAATCCGTCATTATGCAGCAAGAAGTTTCCCTACCTGCTCATCATCCCTCTATCATTGCTAACAATAACAGCCACACGTGGCGTGGCCGTCCTAAAACCAACATGCTCAACACAAATTGCAACGAATCAACCATTCTATCAATACTTGCTACTTCAAGAACGACTTTCTTCTTGGATATCGCAAAATGAATACCAAACCTACAACATATTCAAGACCAACCACCAGCTCATACTATCAATGAGTTCTATCAAAAGAAGACTACCAACACTTTCAGGTAATTTCACCTTCTAACGCTCCTCACGTAATTTTAGGTAATAACCTAAACCATTTTCATATGTGGATCCTTGATTCAGGGGCATATGATCATGTTTGCCCCTATATCAAATGCTTTTCTATTGTTAAAATGATCCAACCATTTGAATCACCTTTTCCAATGGCAATACATGTAAGTACAAACTTCACCGTCAAAATTTTTGAATGATGTCAAAACTGGTAAAAGCTTACACTTTAGAATATTGGGTCGTATCTTTATGTCTTGTGGCACTCCTCTGCATTAGAGGTCTTAGGAATCATTAGAAAGCATTTTGAAATTGATCTAAGCCATTAAAAATAATTTTTTGCATGATTTTTTACTACATCTGTCGAAACATCCGTGTTTCAGGTCGACACATACAACTCAATATTAAAGCCTATAGCTTCTGTAAGTCTTAGGCCGACACATGCATATTTCAGGTCGACACTGTAGTGGTAGAAATGTTAAGAAAAAGCCATTAGATTGACTTGACTTATACAGTTCAAAATAAAAATCGCCACCATGCTTTATTATTTCCAAAGGAATGGGAAAAGAGCGAATAACCCAAAAGAAGGGGGAAAAATTCTAGGTAAGAGGGTTGGTTATGCAAAGAGAAGGTATTAACACCCTAAACATCTATGGTACTCCGCAGGAACTTCTTTGTAAAAATATGTACGTTTTGGCTATAAAATGTTGTGTAAAAATATATTGTGGGGATGAGAAAAGAAATAATTTTTTATGATTTCTGCACCCGCCGCGATTGTGAACCTTTAGTGCCTACGTACCACCTTCCGCACAATAGGGGATCAGGGTACACATAGTTCCTCTTAAAAAATTTTAAAACACACGTGTGTTGGTTAATTTTATGAGATAAGACATCACCGTCATTGTCCGTGTAGAAAACATACTTACTACCCACAATCATGAGAAAGGAGATTTTGCATCATCTCAAAGTGAATGATATGGCTTAGATTTTAAAATCAACAAAACCTCGCTCAACACCCAAGTGGAAAATATCTCTCTTCACTTCATATTGTAGAAGTATAGTTGTTTACATCACTACAAGGGTTGACAAGAGTCTA